AATCTAACAAATAGTTTCATTACTAAACCACTCGCGCACAAATATAGCCTTTTAAGACTGAATACATTCCATTTACTAATTACCGCCTCATAGATTGCCTAACTCTCTATTTCAATAAACTATTTGTGATTCTGAAAACCTCAAGCCAGCATGAAATAGTATAAGTTTCACCAGTCGAATTGCAAGGTACTCTTAAACGTAAAAGCAGACCTAATGGAGCAAAGTGAAACTCTCGTGGGCCTCATATAGTTATTGACACTTGAATTTAACTGATATTCATGTAAGCTACGTCAATTTTAATTACTTAAATAAAAATGCGTTAGTGGTATGGCGTAATTTCTCAGTTGATTAATTAGTAGGGGTAACATTATAACTTGGATCCAAGTGCCTTCAATGAAACAATTGGAGAGTAGAAATGACATCATGAGAGGCATAATAATTCTAAATAGCTATATATTGTCCAAACAAAAGGGCCCCTGCTGTTTTGGTAATCAAATTTCAGCAAATCAAAACAAATAACAAAATATTGTCCAATCAAAATGATCCCTGCTGTCTTGGTAGTCAAATTGTAGCCAATCAAAACAAATCACTCGTTGTGACAACAACTCCACACGGATAAGGACCTACTATTTTTTCCACATTAAATTGAGCTGGAATGACGCTGTTCGTTCGGTTTGAAATGTTAGTAGTAGATTCTAATCCTAGTCGGCGTGTGAAAGTTTGGTGACTTTATTTTTTCCGGACGACCCACCTGTAAATAGGTTCGGATAATCGGAAAAAAATCAATGCCAACATGTTGGACAAGGATCCACAGGAAGAAAGTATCTTCGTGAACAGAAGTTAATATCCTCGAAAAAAATTGTTTGCCTCTTTCTTTTCTTAATAAACTTGAACATTCTCAGACTTGACTTCCTACTCAAGCATCATTTACTCTGGAATAATAGTTTTGCCTTGAAAATCATGTATGCTTCCTCAATTCAACAGAGAGGTCGGCCCTCTTATCCATGAGTTTCACAGTTAAAATGTTGAATGATATATGATGAAGAAATTTATTATAAAGATTGCATTATGCTTCAATAATAAATAATTCAGAAAAAATGTGTCTTCAATTTGCAATTTTTATATTTTTTCTTATTTACACTAGTAACCTTCTATGAGAATCTCGAGAAAGAATCTGAAAATAGCTTGGTAATATAATTACGGCTTAACGGTAATATCTGCTTAAAATGTTAAGCAAGAGTATCTAATCTGACATTATACGCCTATTATTCTAGAAATATTTACTAAGATACAGCATGACATAGTCTCCTACTGACTGGACTGGTGAATAGGTGCAACTTCAAGCTGTGTGCGGTAAGTGAAATTATTTCAAGACAATTAACAAAGTCTACCCTTTTTCCGATTTCATACTGACATTTGAAATCGAAAAGGATGATGCAGTCGTCGTTGCAAATTTTCTTCAACTGTTAACCGTTGTAGCCCATAAATTACTTAGTTTTATTGGAATTGCAAGAATTTGACTAAAATTTGGTATGGTGCGAAAAAAATGCATCAGCTGTGAATTCGATACACATACAAAGAAATTCTCTATACAATCCCTTTAAGCTTTCCACGCTGTGTCTTAATATCTATGTGGTAATACATGGTAATTGTAGGCATAACTAAGTTGCCTAATAATATGAACAATTTGTCTGAAGAGCGCTTGTCGGGACTCTCATGGGAATATTTTCAGACACAAAATCATCGAAATAATATCAGGTGTCTGTGTTCGAATCATCGATCTTGCCCATAACTTTACATTCGGAACAATGTTAAACTATTCATAATATACAAGCTTCAATAAATTATATGAATAATACAATATACCGAGTGCAATTTTTGCTGTAGTTTGATAGTACCGTTGAAACGAGATCCAACCGATCGAATAGTCTGATATTTAGATGTATTAGTGCTGTATAATATATGAAAATTACAAACCTATCATTTCCCTTGATAAGAACTATTAAGTTCACTAAAATTTAATTACTTACTTATCTATCTTCTAGTGTGTTTTATCAATAATAAATTAAAGCGTTACTCACGCTGTCGCTTGATTTAGAATAATGAATTGCATTTGATTGATCAAATATGCGATTTTCAACAGAAAATTAGAATAAAAATTTGAAGGTATAATATGACAAAAGCAGACACACAGAGATTAGAAATAGAAATGCTTTCCCTTTTTTTTGGAAGATAATATACACCCACTAGCAGCTTTGAGTTTAAATTAAAATATTTGGCAGTACAGTAACATTTACCAGTATGAAACATTCAACCTTCAGTATACACTTCTTTTGAACTTTTAGAGGCGATACTGAATAATATTACCAAGTTTCATCAAAATCTGTCAAGAATTGGGCCCTAAGAGTGTTTACAGACTAAAACTAGTGGGCGTATAAAAAACCAATACATTTCTGAGGGTATTCTATTCCTAGGCTACTGGCAACTTGGTTTAAAGCCTGTTAAATAACAATACACCAACGATATATAATTAGTTGGATAACCTCTTCGAACGGAAGTACCATTGGAAGGTGTGATGCTATAAGTGATTCTATCGAAACCCTCCACAGTTTGTTACCATGAAGTTCCACGTTTAAAGAGCAATGGGAGCAAAAAGCTTTACTTGGTCGTTTATTTTGGTATGATGGTCTTCTTCGTGTATATTTGAGCGCAGGTTTGTTGCCTTTTGTGCGTTTTTGTTGTTGGATGTTGTTTTTATTGGACTTACCGTCATAGCCCATTGTGATTAAACACTAAACAGAACTTCCACATGTTGTCTAGTGGCTCTTTAATTCATCTTAGTCAAACCAGTGGAAGAAAGATTGTTTAAACAAGAATACGATCAACAAATCTGTATTGATACACGTCGATGATTGAAACACAATGAAATCTTCACAACTAAAGATAAATATATCAATTTGTAGAATGCTACATGTTTACAACAAGTCAATAAGACTATAGAGTGATGAAATTATTTACGGCCATCTTTTACTTGATTATTTCTTCAATAAATATAGTAAAGAGATTGAAAAAGGCGGTGAAGATTCACTCAATATGCCAAAAGGCTAATTTATTCTTATCAATAACGACTCCCTAGAGAAGGCTACTAAAGCTTTAAGTGCACTAAATAGATCTCTTGGTGGAATCAAAGCCACAATTCGACTTTTTGTATCAGTTTGCTTCAAATAATTTAATTAAAACTTTTATCCACCAGGACAAATTTAAAAAGATATATGACCAATAAGATTACACATGAAAAGAAAAGGAAGACAAACAAATTAGGAACTTTTTTGAAAAAAAAAATCAACCGTAAATGAAACCTTGTTAAAAGAGTTGCTAGAATAACATTGGCTATTGCTAAACGTATATATGATGTCCGTATCGAAAAGCTGCTACAGCCTTTTGCGATAGCTACGTCATTAAACGCTTAATTTAGTTGAACTGCAAGCTCGCAGATGTCTTGACTTGGAATGGATGCTGTCAGTGTTTCCAATACTTATGCAAAGTTTAGAAAGGGCTCACTATTTTATGTAAAAAACTGTAGAGCATTTAATGATGTATTTATGTGATAAGTTATTAAGTGCAGGTGACAGATGAATATTGGTATTTGTATAATAAGATGGAACATAACGGTATCTCGTCTTCCAGATGTAAATCACATCTTAATCATTTATATCAGATAACGGTTTTCAATTACCATGAGATCAAATTGAAAAGTCTGTCTTCAATCCGCCATACGAGGTAAGGAGGTCCCGAGAATGATTTCCACCTGAATTTGGTAAAGGGGGGTAAAACTCCGCCGAATATACAGACACAAGTCGACTCTTGTCCTCCATTTGCTGCTTTTTAACTCATTTCAATTAGATCTTCATGAAAATGCATGTAGTAATTGGGCCGTATGACGATTCCTTTTACTTATCCTTGGCTGGTCCTTCTTTATTGTATATGGAAACATAACTCATTGTCTAAAATATTTCATTTTAAGTGATTTTCTCAATCAACTTACGAAATGCATACGATTGTCATAGTATTCATCTGAGAGTTTAGCAATAAAGACAATTCACTAAAATATCACCCAAAGAAGTGGAATTTTCAATTCGAACGCCACATCATAAACGCTTCGGATATGATTGTCAACAACTCATTATTTCCATGATCCCTTGTGAGAGATTGGAAATTCGTTTGACTGTATACTAATTACAGAGCACGGGTCGTGTAAATCATTGTCTAGCTTTGTATAACTAGATCTCAGGAGTCCATGGAAATAATTAATTCTTGGTTTTATCTGGAGTTCGTAATAAGGACTGTTCGACTTGACAGACAGTAATTTTTAGTATATTGGTCCCTGCAACTAGGGATTTAAACCCAACTCAAGTTATCATAAAGAAAGTGCCCTTGAATTATCTTGGATATCACTTGCCTTCTACTGTAGTACAACTTTGTAACGGTGTGAAGTCCTCGATCAAGTCTACAGTCAAACTATCATTGTAAAACCTCCAAGAGAAGTTGAAAAACACGGTGTCGAATATATGTTAGCAATTCAACTTTGCTTACAGTTAAAACTATCGTTGATCAAGAATGATTTCGAACTCTTGTATTGATTATTCTTATTTATATCATTGCAAGAGCAAGTCTTAGAGTTTCTTTCCCTAAATAAGCCCTTCTCTACCATGATATAGAATAGCTGTTCCACTATTTCTTAATAGCAAAGCAGGAATAGCATTTTACAGTGTACTCCTTCTCATCAAGATGAATATATGCCATAAGCGTCAAAAGGTACATTTTTAAACATATGGAAGAGCTGCTTCACGGCTAACAAATATTACCGTTTAATTTAATAAGAACTTTAATGAAATCACTAAAATTGGTGTATACATATTAATTTAATCAAAAATTTGCACCCAATTTGTGTGTTAGATTTATTAAAAGTTAACAAGAAGTATACAATTTATATATTTCAGAATCTGTCGGTATCTGTATCAGTTCTGACGTTGAGTGCTATCAGCATTGAGAGATGGTACGCTATTTGTCATCCACTGAGATTCAAATCAACATTATCGAGGGCCAGAAATATGATCATCATCATCTGGATTGTTTCGGCAGGTGCAGCATTACCTGAGCTAGTTGTTGCCCAAACCTACCCATACGTTTACAAACCGCCATTTACATCGTTCTTATTGACATCTTGTCGTCCATCTTGGGATCCTTGGGTACAATCAATCTACCAAACAGCATTAATGATAGTTATGTATTTATTCCCTTTGACTTTAATGGCTCTCACTTATGCTAATATAGCATACGTTTTGTGGCGTAAAGAAATACCCGGAGAAATACGTAAGTATGAGCTGTCTTTTTTGCTTACGTCGGCCAGTCTGCTATTTTCCCCCAATAGAGCTATACGTAAGCCATCCATAACACTTTCAATGATAAAAAGTACGACGGCTTCATCATTTAAGTGGACTGACGGGACTAATATTAGTCCAAACTGTTAGGCTGTTGAACATTGATGTCAATATAGCAAAAAAACATGTTAAAATGTTATAAATGATGAGCTTTTGACGAACCGAATGTAAATTTGTTTTTAATTAATACGAAAAACTCAATCAGTTGGTAAAATACATATACGTATACCATACCATTTAAAGACACAATGTCAAAACTTGATTTCGGAGAATTTAAGATCAATCACTTTCAAACTACTAAATTAAGGACACGTGCCATCATCTTTTTTAAATTAAAATAACATTTCTCATAGTGGTAAAAACTAGAATTTGTACCGTTTCTATGATATTAATAGATTATTTTTTTTAAAAAATTGCATATGCCATGATCAGGAATAGCTTTTAGACCAAATGAAGAAAATATCTTCTTGACAATGGCTTATCTACAAAAAAAATAGTTTGATCTTTAAGAGGATGGTTATTTAAAATGAGTTTTATCTTTGGATATCATAAAGATATATGCTAGTGTGGTATTTAAAGGGACATTCTGCTTTCTTTTAAGGTCAAATTTTATTTCCAAATTTGTGAAAACTATGCACCAAAATCTAGAAAAATATGCCCTTTATCTGAAATTTTTAACTAAAAGAATCAAGCAGTTAATATTTAAACGCCTAAAATATTTAAAAACATTACGTAAGGTTTTTAAGTTCGTTATGCTGTTTGGAAGCTGTTAGAAAACTACTGTGCGGATTTAAGTAAATAAACGCCTAATTGTAGAGAAATATGTCTCCTTCGTTTTATGAACGTTTCAACTAATAATATCTAGCAAATATAAAGCTAAACACAAAACTAGGTCAAACTTCCAAAATAACAATGATTATTCTCCATTTTTAATTAACCCTTTCAAAACCAATGCAGTTTGATCAAGATGATACATAGATATAAATAGGACACTTTAGAAATATTTTCAGGTATAATTTACATTTTTGATAATGAAAACTTTTTACAAAAAAACAACGAAACGGAATACCTCTTTAATACAACTGTGATAGACCTTTGAGTAAAAGTGAAAACGAATAAGCTGGATTGTTGAAGATAATAGAGGAATTGTTTTGACGTTTGTAAAATGAAGTGAAAGTAAAGTCTTGATTATATTACTTAGTAGAATTATTAAGTGGAAGTTTAAGTGAAATGTGCCACAACTTATTGCAAGGAAACGTATAATGACATGAACACGACTCTAGTCTTTTTGATATTGGCATCAAGAATGAAGCATAAACTATGTGTTAACGAGTGAAATGAGGCATACATAACAATCTGACTGGATTTCTAATTGTATTGATGAAAGCCAATGTTCTGAAATTTCTACAAGAATTTTCATTATTGTTTTCTGTTTTCCCTTTCAGTATATTTCCTCTCATTCATCATAATTTTATGTTGATGCTAGAGGTAAAAAGTCGTAACTATCTATTCTCGTGAATTTCTAGATTTCATTACTTCCATTTAATGAATTACTTATTGGCAGCTTTCCATGATTTACATACCGAATTTTTTTTTTTAACTAAATTGTACTATACGAATCAGACAGTGAAACAGTTACCTACGTCAGTAGTTATTCAAATTATTTTGAAATAGTGCATTTGACTCTAAACGTAAATACAAGCAAGTATATAGACATATCCACATGACCAGTGATCACCAGATATTTAACAACCTTTAATGTCATACTAATTTTTTGCTTCTGCAGCAGTCTTAAGGTTGGAATAGACGAGGCGCCCGATGCAGTGTGCCTTGACGGATTATCGATAAAATAGACAATTGTAGAAGTCAATATTGTACGGAAGCCCACTTCTTTAATGATGTCGCCATATATTAACATGCCAAATCAGTACCAAATGGAGTATCGGGTTTTTATTACAACCAACCTTCATCGCTTACGAGGCAAACCTGATTGAAGATACAGACAAATTGACGATAGCTGACAGAGTTGGTGACAGATAAGGCCCACTAAAACGAACCATCTTGAACATAATGCGTCCCCAAGGACATCTTTAAAAAATGTTAGTCTAATTTCTGAGGAAAAAGATTCTATTTGGCAGGGACAATGAAACAAAATAATGGTAAAAAGACAATGTGGTGCTTCGAGTCTCATTTGAATAACACAAACAACAGTCAAAATAAGGTGCATTCACCTTGAGGTACTTCCGTTTTCCCGAGGAACATTTAAGTTTAGAGATTCTTTACATACACAACATGTAGTACACTTGAGCCTTCAGTTAGTACTTAATTTCCCATGATTACGACAAAACATGTAATCCCCTCCTTGGGTGGCCGGGTTGAATCATATGAAGACTTTACCTCGACCACTGCCTTGATCTAACAAAGATCCTTCAATAATGCAATCAAGCGCTTTACTTGTTGAACCACTGTAGCTCAAACGTACATAACTCGTTCAAATATCTTGAGCTAATTCCAACAAATCTCATACAGATGGACCAATTGTCAATAGTGTCACATTGAACCTCAACATAGCTCTATTTAGTGCCATGAATTATAACGTTCCAATGAAGTGTTCTATCAATATGTTTTTTAGCCTCGAGCACTTTGAAGTGAAAATGATAATAGGCAACTTAGATTAAATATGATGAAGTCGAGGAAAACTTAATTTCCTTATATTAAATTTAACATGGGATTGGAAACTATCAGTTTAAATATTTAATACTGTGTTTGAACTCTCGTTCTCATATTATTTACTAATATAATAAATCATAAGGAGGCATACAGATTTTGTTCTGGACGAATCGGGCCAGAAATAATTGTCAAGAGATAACCGAATGCTCGACCTAATTTCATGACGACAAAGATACAATACTCTTTTGACTTGATTTTGTCGACGAACGGATTTGTGAGGGTTTGATTCTGAACTGCGATACGTTTGCCAGCTTTTAAGTTTTATCGATAGGGAATGCGAATCTTCAGAAGATTATATTCCCACAAGTTACATGAATTGATATCTTTCATACTTCTTGAAATTATTCATCGACAATGCACTGGTCGCAGCTGCAGTCGCTTCGTGACCTAAATGTGTAAGACATCATCTGTGGAGATTTATTACTTTACTCGGTAATTGTGTCATATACATTTAACAGTTTAATTTCTCAAAATCTATAAACAAAATCAGAGGACATCATCCCTGTCTGATTATTTCTTGGGGTGTAATATCTGGTATTTATTCATATGAGGCTTGATCGTCTGGAACCTCAATGATGGTAGCCAAATCAGGGGTGTAGTGGGACAAGACATTTAAAATATCGCATGCCATTTACTTAACTTTTGGATTAAAATTATTGAATGCTTAAATGCTATTGGGTCATTTATAGATTTTTCAGTTGGAAAGGAACACCACGAGGTCGATTACTAGCTCTTAAATTCTCAACTATTATCTGTGAACAAGCCTAGAACTTGAGATCCACTGTGATAACTAACAGCAGCGAGGAAAGAAATTTTCATTCTTCCGCAACTCTGCGATCGGGTCTGTCAACTCGTCGTTCGACATAGTTGCCATAACCAAGCTTCTAGTTGGCTAAGCGATATGATCTTAAACTGATGGGTCATTTATTCCAACAGACGTTTACTTAAAGTTTTCGTTTAAAACAGATCAATTGTTTAGTAAGGCTTTGCTTGTCGATTTTAGTCGAGACTTTGCATTTATTCCATATTTCAACATATCTAAGATTTGGTAGCAGACCATTATTAGATTTTCTTAATTCAGCTGAAACTCTTATGTGACACCTCTAAGGACAGACCCATTATCTGAAAATGACCATCAAGTTGGGCAAGCGGAAAATTAATGTGGCTATAGTAATCCCCAAGTTCACAGAGCCACTATATTCATGTCATATATTATCTGATGTCGAAATATATTCTAATCTAATGTAATGCCTTGTTAGTCAGATGTATCCAAATATGTTTCTACAGGATGTCCTTTATTGAGTGTATCGATTAAAATTACATGTACAGGATATCTTTACGATCAAGATATCAGTACTAAATAAACATATGCTGTGTTCGGATAAGAAAGGATAATAAACTCGCTGAGAATTCTCCTTTGACACTTTTGATTTGGTTTTGACTGGAGATTCAGTTGAGAGTAGATGAATCCGACAGTATTTTCCTGATATCACACGATGACCACGATAAGAGTCTGTAGGTTGAGCTAATCTGGTAAGATGTGATCATACACATGTCTAGATCGGATAGAATTGTAGTTGCAATGATTTTCAAGGTCGTGATCTAGAGTGATCACGATTTGTCGATAGCGCCGCTCGAATGGCACAGGAAATGATATTCTCTTCATGGATCTTAATTCGATTTTATATGTGTTCAGTTGCTTTTTCGTACTACACAATACGATTTGATACAATGGTCATGTCTGTAAATTTATCTAAAATATTTCTACATTAACCCTCGGGAGTACCCAGGTAATCCTCCATCCCAGAAAACGTATACATGCAAATCTACAGCTACTCACTACAAATTCGCTCGCCGTGATAAATAAATGATGAAAACGAAGAAACAATAACGATTTCTATCGTTGCGACATCTTAAGACACCCACCGCGTAGTAGTTTAATGATCACTAGTTGTGATAGATAAATGATGAAATAACGAAGTCAAAATAAGTATGTCTACTAAAATCAAGTACTACAAGAAGAGTCCACAAGAAACACAGTTCCCTTTGGAGCAAGAAATTTCCATTTTTCCAGCGTGATATTTATTTTGCTTGACAGTCAATCTATCTTTTTGTCTGGGGAGTCGCATTTATGTCTATAGGTGAAAACAGCTGTAATGAAAGTTAAAAAGGATGTAAATTGAGGTGTAAATATTAACCGACTTTTAAAATAGACAATTCCACAGGTTTCAGTAAACTATGTCTGGTTCCAGAAACAGAAATGAAACTGTTGGAAGTATGGGATGAATACATGAACGTTGTCGTTCACTTTTATTGCTAGTACTTTTACTATAGACGAATGCGTTTCACGAAAATTCCTTTGACTTTGTGGTCCACGATAAGAAGTGCTGTGGGTATGTGTGTACGAAGAAGGGCATGCTCTTGTGAAATAAGTGTGCGAGGCTGATTTTTGAAAAAGAAAATGCTTTATTTGTAGCTGGAAGAAAATCAATGATTGATGGTAAAGGAAATAATACAGAAGATAAGTTACAATCCAGAAGAAGGGCTGCTAAAATGTTGATTACGATTGTTGTTGTGTTTGCTTTATGTTATTTACCTGTGCATCTGCTCAATATGTTAAGGTTTGTTGCTAATCCCCGAGGTTTTTAGTTCTAGAAATCCAATTCAATGACATTTCAATTCTGGCACGAGTATTTTCCACGAAACGAAGCAGCAAATACATCATCTGATCATGGCCGTGACATGGAATACGTTTTGAATTTACAGTGATTCGATCGACATGATTGGACTGACTTTGAATGGATATGCAAAGATTACTTGTTTATCGACAACAGACAAGAACACGACTTTAATACACAGATGGCAATACGATTATTGAAAGATTTCGCAGCACGAATCCATAACCATAATAGGGACCACCTTTTAGTCATGATCAGAAAAAAAAAATAGAATTAAGATGCGATATTTCTTGAAGCTTAGGCACTGAAAGAGGTTACTTGGTAAGCGTAAAATGGTAGACGTCTCATAATTTTTTTATTAATGTTTTGTAGATATTTTGGGGTATTGGTGGACCTAGATGAAGAGAAAGCCACTTTACAGTCACTGGCATCACATTGGTTACCCTATTTAAACAGCTCAATCAATCCAGTCATTTATAATTTCATGAGTGGTAGGTGGTTTGTTTAGCTTTTAAATGGCTATCTATGGAGATTGTCATATCTTAGATAATGAATACTAATACTTAAATAAATGATATAGATATGAACATAGCCTGTCAATTATGAAAATATTTGGAATCGAATTGCCATTCAAGTGGACAACGCCATCTTAAAGGAGATGCTAGTTATGGATTCCAATTGTGCTCTGGGTTGTACTAATGATGACAGATGTGATGTAATGTACAAAGGGGTAAATTTTGTCAGAATAGTGTTATTAGCCTGCAGAAGAATATTGCAAAGGTTGTATCAAAATATGTCCCATAAGAATTGAGGCATACATGGAGACGAAAACTTCCTTCTGAAATTGCTAATGCGTCTGTCGAGTCCCAACTTCTCTTACATTTAATGACTACCTTGACACATTATCTATTCGTAGAATAATATAACAATATAACGTGTTATTTTTATGTTACATGTATACAAATAAACCGTAGTTATACGTCTTTGAATCAGTATTTTATTGACCAGAGAAAATCATGTAGTGCATGTCAAGAACCTGTAATTAACGTGCAAGTCATCCCGTGTGAGACGGTAGTCTCATCAAGAGAAAGTAATTTCCTTCCAATTCTCACCGATCAAACGAAAAGCATTTCACTTCCCTCCGCTGATTCCATAGAAAGGAAATTGTGTGAATTAACTATACGCCCACACGAAAACAGGCTACATATCTTTATTTGAATATACATTGCCAAATGCTATAGCAGAATGTATATATTTTGATCTAAGTTGATCATGTTCAAATTTGGGAGCTTTCCTTACAACAAATCCTAGATAATAGCACCTTCAATTTTCTAAAAAAGAAATTCCCTCGAGCTGGTGATGACCAGAAAAATGTCGATCAAATGGGAAAGTTCCTTGTTCTATGACCCGCAGTCGAAGTGAGCGTATTTGACGTGATGTATCATTTTTAGTAGAAACTTTTTTGTGAAAGGATAAGGTTGACACTTATTGATTTATGTGATAATCAGTAATTAAATTGTCTTTTTCAGTTAAATTTCGAAAAGAGTTCAAAACAGTTTGTTATTGTTTTACCAGCGTCTACAAGAAACCTTTTCGTCGTCCCCGAGCCGAGACCTACACAATGACATTTTCTCAAAGTAACTACAGTAATTGTCATACAGAAGAACTTACCATGTCCAGTTTTAAAGACTGAATAAGTCCAGAATAATTTGCTTTTAGAGGGTTAATGCTTCAATAGAGACTGAGACACGATTCATGCGTCATCGATGTCGCAGATTTTAGACAGAAATATTCTCTTGGATTTTGTTTTTGTTATGCTCAACGCTTTTTGTATAGGGGCCAGTAAATATGTTTAAGTACATAATATCAAAACGTTTTTTTTTTTTGTTCAGAGACGAAATATCATGAACAAAAAATGTAGAAAATCCTATTAGGTTTATGTCATAAAAGGAAAATGAACCTTTTACGAATCTGCTAATATTAACCATGAGAAATGCCTGCTCCTAAGCATATTATGTAATTCAGATCCTTTACCTACTTAAGTTTAGGAAAACAAATTGATATTTACGTAAGTTTTGGCGAAGGAAAACTTGACCTCACTTTTTTCATGAACAGCATCATTACAGAAGAGGACCGGGTTACAAAGTCCGGAGATACCTTTTAGCATTTGTTAGATCTCTAGCTTTCCGTTAACGTTCAAGTCGCTGAGCTATTCCGGATGATACGATCCAATGTGCCATCGGTCAATTAGAACTTTTGAAAATATTGTAACATACCTTTTGAATAATAATTGTGGCGATCTTCAAAAGCATCATTTTTATGTATATATTTCGGAATAGATCGCAATCGTATGAAATTAAACGTAGACGTAGCATGAACATGTAACAGATTGTTAATATTGTATATTGTATGATAAAAAGTAATAATGTATTAAAAGATAAATTTCAAAGTGGATAATCATCATATCTTTAGAATGTACCAATGTAACGGAGAAACATTTTTGCCTTCTTTGCGCAATACCCGTCATTGTTACCTTGAACGACATAACCGAGGTAAGATGAAGTTGACATATACCTACAAGAGAGGTTAATGGCCAAAGATACCATAAGAAAATAACAAATTCAGCATTCCCGCCCAACAGGTACTCTAATCGTTGTAAAAAGATTAATCTTGATACAAATCCACACATCAGGTAGAAGAAATGATCTGCCATATATTTAAGACTGTAGCACTGGCTAAAGCAAACGTGACAAATGCATTTTCTGACAAGTTCCTGATACTAGCAGTGCCGCTTTCCTATAAAAGGGAAATAACCATTTTCATGAACATGTATACAGCACTCAGACCACTAATTCAATTATCATTTTCGCGTTATTAATATGAGGAAAATCAACCTTAAAAAGGTTTTCGCATGAAGTGTGTACACGCTTTCCCAAATGCTTCACTGCCATTTATTTGGCAGTTATCGATATTGGTGTACACACATCACTGGAAATAAGAATAACATTTTTCTTTTACATTACATTCTCATCGATCGTCAATCAAGTTTGGCAGTCAAATTGATTTTCTTGCGTTAACTAAATTGCTATTAAATGTGTTGTTCATAGAAGCAGTTTCTTTGAAAATTGTTTCATACAACAATGCTTTCGCTTGATTATTTAGTTGGTTTTCTGCATCTGATAAGTACAGATTATTTGGGGCTTCCTTAAAAAGAAACGCATTGTTTTAATGTTATTCTTAATTTTTTTTGGAAATGTGAGGAGTCATATTTTGTGGTCTCCTGATTCCAAAACAGATTAGAATGAACCGAAACTTTATTTTAATCGGAAATCCCAATATCACATTCTCCGGACTCAAAAACAGATTAGAATGAACCGAAACCTTGTTTTAATAGGACATCCCAATATCACATTCTCCTGACTCAAAAACAGATTAGAATGAACCGAAACCTTGTTTTAATAGGACATCCCAATATCACATTCTCCGGACTCAAAAACAGATTAGAATGAACCGAAACCTTATTTTAATAGGACATCCCAATATCACATTCTCCTGACTCAAAAACAGATTAAAATGAACCGAAACCTTATTTTAATAGGACATCCCAATATCACATTCTCAAAAGGAGCCTTACAAAAAGAATGAACAGTGAAAGCACTATCATCTTTCTCTTTAGCCCTTACGTTCCAACCCTATCGTTGATGCAGCCACAACTGACTATATTTATCAACATTCCAGAGTTGACACTGGGCCCTGCATTGCCTCAGTCGTGATGTCTTTTCAGTGCCCTATTTGCTACTGACCAGAAAGGACCTATATCACGTGACCAAGCATGCATATTGAACATCTGTTACACTAAATATAGAGATGATGAAATACATCAAAGGCACAAACTGTTATTAGGGTTTTGACAACAGGAAGAACTGAACGATAATAACCATCTGTATCACATATGAATAAGCATGCATATTGAACACCTGTTACACTAAATAAAGAGATGACGAAATACATCAAAGAGACAGACTGTTGCTATGTTTTTACAACAGGAAGAACTAAGCGATATTAACCACCAATATAATATTAAGGACGATATGTCCGTCCATCCCACTACATATAATCTTTCCTCTAAAACATGCCACTCTATGAGGGTTTGTATAACAAATGTATCCACACATTCTCTTTCTTCTAAGAAAGAAACACGCTTCATAGTGTTTATTCTATAATTTATTTTGTCCAAAAACAGTTTTAGTACATAATAAACTTATTGCATAGTAACCACAGGGATCAATGATTGTCAATCATTGAAGAAAATCAACACATGAACACAAAATAAGAAATAAGAAAATTTACTTCCAATGGGTAGTAACTCGTGAGTGATTCCCCAATCAAGAACGCAAATAACTGAACGAATAAAGAAAATCAACACATGAACAAAAAATAATTAACCTAACGTACATAGTAAAATTAGATCGAATTCATCTATAGTAGCTCTGTGAAAAATGATGCTTTAGGATCTATTACCTTCCTTGAAGGTGAGCTACTGACATGACTCTTATATGTACACCTTTTGTAACACATGGAACCAACGTTAGAATAGTGTTGGCGAATACGACCTTTGGAGATGACAAAAGGTTAGTGTACGAAAGATGTCATCGACGCTGCGCATTGACACCTTCGCGGAAAAAGCAGTCGTCTTGGTAAATTATCGGAAAGATATTAGAATGCTGAGATATTGTCTTCAAGTAAGTCAAAATTCTTCTTCATGGGTTTCTGTAGCTGTTAAGCACAGTTGGAGTTACAAACTACGTCAACTTCTTGCAAGGTCTGCAATGTTATTGAACTTGACTAATGAATACAAGTGTAAAGGGATCGTGAATCTAAACGCACTAAACTTATTGTCTGATGATTATAGATGATCTGCGTATACGAACGAGAAACCGCTTGATAAAATCAGTTAAATTAGTGCCCAAGATCGATAACTTTCACTCTAAAACGTGTTAATTGTATTTCACTAGACCGTTCTTTATTTAGTGTAAACAATATACGTTTCAATTCCCTGCTCATCAGATAGCTTGAAAACATATCCTCCTGATATCGGTACAACAGTGTCTCAAATGAATACCAAGCTGAATAAGATTTCATAGATAAAAGAATACAACAAATTACTTTAAATAAGATTAATTAGCCATCAGAAGCTTCTGTAAATCCATATTTATCATGTTAAAATGAAGATAAATGAGAGTACATATGTATTCGATCTCAAGTGAAACGAGCCTATAATCAAATCATATTGTACTAATATATCCGAATTATATGTACATGTATTTAATTTTAGGCCACGGGAGACAATCGCATCCCACAGAATTAATTTGTTATGTAATGGAGTACTTTTTTTTCCTTCTTCAATAACGTTTAATATAATAAATGAACTTTTATCATTACATTTTACTTTAAATTGAACTGTTGCGTACTCGCAAAGACTAAATTTATCATACTTTCAATTTTAATGGAAGAATATAAATTATATACAATAAGATATAAATCTGATTTCGAGGAAAGGATGGTTTGATTATCCCCATCAGACGGAATAATAGAACAAATACTTTACTAAGAAAAATGGAATAAGCGGTCTGGAACTGCTGGGTATTTTTCATCTGTTCTGAAGAGGGCAAGGGGTTACTTTGTTGTATACTCATTGGCTTTAGTTTGCTATGAACATGGTTGAAATTAAAGAACTGTTTTGTTTGACAATCATTTTTTGTTTATAGACATTGGAGAATTTCTCCTGTTGGCTCTCTCACAATGGGCATTGGGCTATCTTATTTGCTCTATTGCTAGTGGTATTGAACGGGACACCAAAAAGCTGCTTTACCTGCATGATGATGAATGTTCAGTACTATCGGTTTTGCTGTATTTAGTGTCTCATTCCAAAGGGCTTTTTTGGTTTCTTTATCAACATGGCATTCCACAGAGAAAATATCATTCATTTAATTAAAAAAGATTAGATACATCAATGAACCTTTCATTGCTTTTTAAGATCTAATTTTTTAGGTAATTTTGAAACAGTGGCCAAATAAGTTATATAACATGTTTGAGCTCAAGTACAAGTACATGTGGATGTTGCTAAAATGTCCCACCTTTCAGAACATATTAAACCATTTTGCAACCACGACTGTGATTTCGGCATCACTTTGAAGCATTCATAACGTTTTGGACAGTTTCATGTGCCGGAATCGTTAAATGAAAAATAGAGCAATAAGTATACCAAAAATTCCTTATGGGTGATCAAAAAAATGAGTTAAACAAGGTTACGTTTACCTTAAGTAAAACCAACTATTTAATGTATGATAAGTTTATCTGTTTAGTCAATAGAAATGCTAAATAGTTTTGAACAAGTTACTTCACAGTTGGAATTTATTGCCATTCAACGTGGTCGTCGTAAATAAAAATGAAATTACAATTCAAAAGGCAACTACTTTCTGGTAAGAGAATATAGATCTTGAGAATATTACGTATTATCTGTTATAATGATATACCACCAACGCTCCCTTATCTCATTTATTATACGTTTCTTTAACTTTGAGAGCAAATTATTACACAGATAATTTTCGTAGGGTTTGAATTTTGCTGATGTGTGGTATAATTATTGTTTTAGTGATTTTTATTTCGTCCAGCCTCAGAACGTTAACTAAGCATATTCCAAATGTGAAATTCTTTGTTTCCTGGGTCAAAATCCTATGCCAACTCTCTCAAGGGGTCTCGCGTTGAGTAAATCATGTACACCACTGATATGTAATTATACCTAAAGATGTTAAGAAAATTTATCGACTCGACTAGAATTTGTGTCATGATTGAACACTTCTTTACTTTGAAATATGAAGTCTATGAACACATTTTGGATGACACATTGATTGAACTTAAAGTATTTAAACGTATACACGATTGTTTAGATGCCGTAAATTTAATAGTTTTTGACATTGATTCAAACGAAATTTTTTAATTGCATGATTAATTCAAGTATTCTGAGACCAACAAACATTCCGGATTGAAAAATTGATTTTTAAGACGCCATTGAACTCAAAGTAACACTCCTATAAGTCAATTGTGGGTTTGTAATGTCAACCTCGTATTTTAAAACGTAATTTAATTTTTCTTGAACTTCCATTTTCTTGAATGTCATTCTCTTTCCGAAATACAGCAAAATATCAGTTTTACGAGACAAACCATGTATTTGGCTTAACGTTAAAAATGGAGAAAAAAACATTTCAGAATCTCCTTTAAGAAATTTCACACTACTTGAGTTTATTTTCTATTATAAAAGATTACATCAAATGTAATAACACTTCCTGTTAGTTTTCAGTCACCCCTGTCGAACTGGCGTACAGATGGGGTACTATACATGATATAGATATATCTGTCATGAAAAAAAACTGTTAAACAGCTTACTTACCATTCAATGATTAGTATATAATTATGTTGACCTATAATCATATTCTGCGCATCACTGCATACTTTAATGAACATGTAGTGAGTACTCATAGGTAAATGCCAAACACATTCCTGTATTTTTATAGTTGTTAAGCCTTGTTTGTTTCCCGTCAATGAACTAATAATTGGATTCTTTGATTCCTTACCGATATTATTAACATTCTTACATGGCTTAATAACAACTCAAATTTCCAGACTACAATAATTTATTAATTTAAAAAATAAAGTGTACCAGACCGTCGTATATTGGTAGATATATGCTATGATACATATCGAACAATTTATGTTGAATCTGAAGGAGAACATTTATTGTTAAAAATATTGCCACGGATATAGGATGACAAGATTGCAATTACCTTGAGACAAAAATCTGAAAAATCCTTAACATCGATCAACAATACACTTCATAACACAACCATGATTTTCGTCACCAAGGTTATATATAACTATGATAGTCGTCATCAATGGTATTATATAACTATGATTGTCTGCATCAATGGTATAATATAACTATGATTGTCTGCATCAATGGTATTATATAACTTTGTCTTCAACAATGGTATAATATAACTTTGTCTTCATCAATGGTATTATATGACTGATTGTTTTCAACAATGGTATAATATAACTATGATTGCCTTCATCAAGGATATCGTATAACTATGATTTACTTCATCAATAGTATTATATAACTATGATTTTCTTCATCAATGATATTATGTAACTATTATAGTCATCATCAATGGTATATGATGTAACTATGATTGTCCTCATCAACGGTATAATATAATAAAACTTGTCTTCATCAATGGTTCTATATAACTATGATTGTCTCCAACACAGGTATTGCATATCTATGATATATAGATAATTATATATATTAAAAAAAAAAAACATAACAAAATCAAACATCTATGAAAATTATAATTACCCGAAGTTAGCATAGCCAGATATTTCTGTTTTATTTCATCATGATTACTTATTTTTTATGATTTCCCCCTGGGACAAGTGTTTCTTAGATAATCCAAGTACAAGTTAATGTAGGCCAAGAGAAGTTCAACGCGGGTATGTGTAAATGTTTTTTTTATAGGAAAATTACGAAGAGTACAATCTAAGTTATCAAGATATATAAAGTTATGTTAAAAAACTTTGTTGTGATCATATAATCTGAAGATGGAATCTTAGATAGAATTAGATGTTGGGATTCTATCAACTTCGACCTACAGTGTCATTAATTAGAGGCGTTTACGGACAAAATAACACCACTTTATTAGTCTAATATTTACCAATAAGCTATAGAATGTTCATTGGTATTCCACCTATTTAAGTTCTTAGCTTAATCACTTTCACGTAGTCGTGATTGGGCTCTTTCTGAAGACAGTAAGATGGAATTCACGAGAAGCGTGGGTACTTTAAATCCACGAGAGGAGACGAATGGTAGTATAGTAATGTGATTAAACTATTTATGCTTGGAAGTTGATATGTGATGTCAAGCTGGAAACATCGAATATTATAGTTTGTCCATGGTTGAATGCTTAACTTTCTAATGGTTTTCTACCTTTACCATTAACAACGTTTTTCCATTGAAATCGGACGTTATAATTCTGTTTTAACAATGATAACCGAGAGGACGGACGGACAACAATAAATCTCAGGAGATGTTTTAGTATATTTTTAATTATCAGATTATTATACTTCAGAGACTCATCGGAAGAGATAAACATTACCATCATGAATGTCACCGTCAAAATGGAGACGTTAAACGATTCAAACGTATCATGTTGGATTTTACCCCCTGAACCAAAATACTGTGGTACCCGAGAGGGAATGATAGAGGTTATCAAAAGTTATATACAACTTAATTCCATAGAAATATTACTTTTAACATTAAACGTAGCGGTATTTGTGATCGGAATCATTGGTAACTTTTTAGTATGTTATGTAGTATATAAATGTAAAGCCTTACATTCTGTGACGAACTTCTTTATTGTTAATTTGGCTGTTGCGGATTTTGTGGTATTGTTGATATGTTTGCCTCCAACTATTGTACAGACTATGTTTGAAACCTGGTTTTTTGGAGAGTTTATGTGTAAAATTATACATGGATTACAGGTAAGAATTAAGAAGACACCCTTTAAGTTTACTGCAACGTGGCATATGATCGACTAATACTGTAAACTTTGTTAAATTGTCGCAAATTTAACCTTTATGCTTATAGGTATAAAATATAATCGTAAATCACTCGGTCGATTTTTACATCTACTTTGCCATTGGCCTGTACTTCTAACAATTTTCTTATCATGTCTCATCTTCATGCTACCAAGTATGACAAGTAATGTCAGTTATCTGGGAAATATGTCGTATACCGTTTCAGACAGTGGTGTCATTTGTTTTTATATTAAATTCGAACGTTTATGTCCGTGGAAATCTGATAAGTTCGGGTACATTCAGAAATTATTTTTGAAAAGTGTCCCCGACTTTATTATGGTTTTACTTCTGAACATAAAGTGATCGATTTACGATCTTTATAAGAGTTCTAGTAGTAACGCTGAATTTCATCCAAATCTGAATAGAAGATTTATGAACAACCATTATAGTTTCCTCTCGATATTGGTAAAAGGCGAATGATTTTGACTGAGTTACGAGATTTTGAATTCTAACGGCTTCAGTTTTAAGAGTGATTTATTGATGGTGTGTTATTAAAAGAAATCGTAATATTTTCAAACAATGTCTTATGAAGGTGTTCAGACACATTCATAGGATAATTTGCAGTCTAGACACATCTCTGGTAGTATTATAAGACCGTTGTGAACATGAGTACATAGGATTATTTTATCTATGAAAGGGAGTTAAAACCGGCTCGCTTCTTAGCATTTTGTGTACAATTTACATCATATCGTCGCAACTGGATGATCGCAAATCACAATCTCTCAGCGACTGAGGTCGAACTATGAGATTCAATAAACAGCATAAAAAGAGCACATCGGCGACAACTCCCATAATCGACAGTGGCCACCAGTGTCTCAATTGATCTCAAATTCTACAGGCCCCAAGTCCCCTAAAAACATTAAATTGTTGAATATACTTAAACAATCGTACACTATATATCATAAGGACGGATGGTTTCGTTGTAGATTGCTGTCCAGTGATTTTGTTTACTTTGCTCATGTGCTTTAAATTGGAAAGTTAAGTTCTAAAACTAGCTCTCTAATGTGTTGTCAAATTTTAAACTCTAATTGGAACTTTCAATTCATCTTAATTTGGGAAAATCGTTTTCTGAAGACGCCACAAATGATACAGACAGAATAATTCTCAAAGCTGGAAATTGTTTGGTATTCTTTTGCTATTACCACCAGGTCAGGGCGACGTCGACCAGATGTCATTGTAGTTTTCCAACGTTACCACGTTAATTTTGGCTAATTTATTGAAAATGTATCCCAGGGTTATATTGTATCAGACAGAGCAAATCGGATCTCCTTTAATATCCCCGTATTTATGTATTTACGTAGCTCAAATCCTAGACAATTGTCTCGAAGGTGTGGAATATGCATTCAATTTCATCGCCAGACATCATACGATCTAAACCGTGTAATTTTCTAAACGATATAATAAGCAAAATGTCATTTCTAATATTTTAGCAAAACCACAAAAGTGAAATGGAAAAAGTTGTTTATGCTTTTCCCAGTACAATTAAGTGCTATCTAATACACTTTTCTAAATGAAAATTTTTGGTTTGTACGCGGAAAATGACGACAGTGCACGATTCTGGCCAGTATTATCATTCTCACAAACAGTTGTTGCTGATGACGTTATCATTTTGAGCTCTGTCAGATGGGAACGTAAACGGGAAATCTACTATAAATATAATAAGGCTTGGCATTAGCTGGCAACCAGTGGTTTTTTGTACTTTTGTAGGTTGATGCTATTTTTATAATTACTATAATTGCTCATTAAATAGTCGTCTATGTTAATTCAGAACAGACTAATAGTTAGCATCGTTTATTTAAGTCAATCATAGTTTACAGGGTGATATAAGTATGTTCCAGACCTGGTTTATTTTTTGTAATACAGAAAGGTTGATATCAGATCATGTAATTGTATTGATCATGTACCCCTTGTTTTCGTACTTCCACCTGTATTTTGTTTGCAATAGAAAATCAGCACCAGAACATTTCTGATAGTCTTGGAATGATGAAGAACTGTTTGTATTCTGTATTTTCATCTATATTTTGTTTGAAATAGAATATCAGTGTTAAAGCAGTTCTGATAAACTTAAAATGAGGATGGACTGTTTGTTTGAAATTGAACATCAGCATCAAAACTGTTCTGATAGTCTAAGAATGAGGATGGCGTCAAAACATTTCTGATAAACTTAAACTTAAAATGAGGATGGACTGTTTGCTTTAAATAGAACATCAGCATCAAAACTGTTCTGATAGTCTAAGAATGAGGATGGCGTCAAAACATTTCTGATAAACTTAAACTTAAAATGAGGATGGACTGTTTGTTTTCGTCCTTTCACCTGTATTTTTGATTGAGATAGAATATCAGTATCCAAACTGTTCTGATAGTAGAAGAATGAGGATGGCGTCAAAACAGTTCTGATAGTCTTAAAATGAGGATGGACTGTTCGTTTTAAATAGAACATCAGCGTCAAAAACAGTTCTCATAGTCTAAGACTGATAGTTTAAGAATGAGGATGGACTGTTTGTTTGAAATTGAATATCAGCATCAAAAACAGTTCTCATAGTCTAAGACTGATAGTTTAAGAATGAGGATGGACTGTTTGAAATTGAATATCAGTGTCAAAACAGTTCTCATAGTCTAAGACTGATAGTTTAAGAATGAGGATGGACTGTTTGTTTGAAATTGAATATCAGTGTCAAAACAGATCTGATAAACTTAAAATGAGGATGGACTCTTTGTTTGAAATTGAAAATCAGCATCAAAAACTGTTCAAATAGTCTAAGAATGAGGATGGACTGTTTGTTTTCGTCCTTTCACTTGTATTTTTGATTGAGATAGAATATCATTATCCTAACAGTTCTGATAGTAGAAGAATGAGGATGGCGTCAAAACAGTTTTGATAGTCTTAAAATGAGGATGGACTGTTCGTTTGTTTCCTTTCTAACATGACATTTGATATAAAGACATCCCTCAGCAAGATACAAATGTTTTTTTTTTAATTAACCCATAATTTCACTATGAACACTACTAGCTAAAATAGTTAAAAGCAACAGGAAAGTATGAAGACAGACACCAATGTTAATTAACTATCTTTGTGTCGTGTTGTGTCCTTATTATTAAAAATTATGAAAAGATGGTAAAGCAAAGAACTATAAGAACACATAATAACCCCATATTTAACACAATAGGAAGACTAGTTTGGGCGGTTTTCTTAATTAACCTAAATATTTAAAATCTTGTCTGAAATCTCAATTATGATTATAGCTAATCATGACAAAATAGAATGTAGCGTCTGTATGAAAGCTTTGTTAAATGAAATATCATCGTCTGTATAGGACGGAATTAAAAATAATATAAGTCCTACTAGTCTGTTCCAGATTGTACAAAAATAGACAACACTATTCATTGTGCAATGGAGGAAATTATCAGCCTTCGATAACCAATGGTTTGATCTATACGACTATACACTGTACTTGTTAATCCTTCCGATCTACGAAACCGAAAAGTACCTATTGCCACAACAAATTATGGTTGAGATTGTCTTTGAAGTTTTCTTACTAACGTTGTCAGTATGTGTGTATAAATAAACAAGAGTATTAATAAGATAATTATAGTTCATTAACTAATAGAGGTAATGTAATTAAACGAAGGCAGACTAAGATATCTAGTCTCGTATCTACCATAATTTTCTTTTTATATCGCGTAATAAAATGTTCCGTAATTTATACTCTAAGGAATACTATTGAATGCATGCTAATTTAGAGCTAATTTTGGTTTATTTCGATTGTCTGATTATGTCTTCGAATCTTTGAAAGATAGGCGTTATTCAACATGAAATGAAGTTTTACGTCATCATTTTCTTCTCTAAGCCGGGCCAATAGGATATCAAGAATGTGAGTAGACAGTATACATCATGCGAGAGGTAGTGACCGAGTCTGGACAAGACAGAATGTGAGTATACAATATACATCATGCGAGAGGTAGTGACTGAGTCTGGACAAGACAGAATGTGAGTATACAGTATACATCATGTGAGAGGTAGTGACTGAGTCTGTACAAGACAGAATGTGAGTATACAATATACATCATGCGAGAGGTAGTGACCGAGTCTGGACAAGACAGAATGTGAGTATACATCATGCGAGAGGTAGTGACCGAGTCTGGACAAGACAGAATGTGAGTATACAATATACATCATGCGAGAGGTAGTGACCGAGTCTGGACAAGACAGAATGTGAGTATACAGTATACATCATGCGAGAGGTAGTGACTGAGTCTGGACACGACAGAATGTGAGTATACAATATACATCATGCGAGAGGTAGTGACTGAGTCTGGACAAGACAGAATGTGAGCATACATCATGCGAGAGGTAGTGACTGAGTCTGTACAAGACAGAATGTGAGTATACAGTATACATCGTGCGAGAGGTAGTGACTGAGTCTGGACAAGACAGAATGTGAATATACATCATGCGAGAGGTAGTGACTGAGTCTGGACCAGACAGTTCATTCTTATGTATCACAATGACACATAGTCGGCACCTGTAGTCCCAAAGCGTCATCAGGTTTAACCTACCGACAATCACCTATTTTTCTGAATATATTTTTATAAAAATTTTGCTCTGAATTTCTTGAAGCTTTTAGGCCGGATGAAGCTTGCGGTGACAATCATTTTCAGCAATAAACTAAATGGCGAAATGATAAATTTTAGCTCTACTGCAAGAAGTATTCTATCGGATGTTGCAAGCGAATCAAAATATGCTCACGTATGCTGTTAACAGCCTTTCGCAGAATTTAAGAGTTTATCATTTAATTTTTGTTTATTTGGCATAGTTATTATCCATACACTAACTAAATTTTCATAGATAGAACCAGAATCCATTTATTAATGAGAGCGAACTGAAAAAATGATTCCAACTGTGT